GGTTTAGTGGTGGTGTAGTTTTGTAATGAGTTGTCGGGTTTTTAACCGACTTCCAAAAAAGAAGGAGGTTATCAGTTCGTCGGAATTTTTTTTTTTTTTATGTATGTTACCGCATAACTTTGGACCACGTCAACCGATTTCGATAATTCTTTTTGCATCGGAAAGGTAGTGTCTCCGAGGTGGTCCCATACTAATCTGGTTAAGATCGGATCAGTGGATTATGAGATATATATATATATATATTTTTATATGAGAGTTGAAGTCGGTTTTTTTTTGCTAAAAATTACTTGTTAATACCAAATATCAGCTCCTAAAACCAAAAATTGTAGAATAAATATTAATGAATTACAATCTCAGATGAACTGCATCACTATCGATAATTTTATTGACTTTTTAATCGATATATTCATGGAAATTGATAGCGATTTATTTTTCAGTATCGATATTTTTATCGTCATATTTATCTGCGTCAATATATCAATATAGATATCGATATATTTATCGAAGTCTGTATTGTGCAATATTATTTTTGATATCAGTATCAATATATAAATCGATAAATTATTCCAATTAGATATTTATCGGTACCGATAAAAAATTATGGACATACTAACCGATATATTTATTATCTTCCTTATCCTTGAGTTTCGCCTGAAAAAAAATCACCCGAAAATTTGTCATTCGCCCATTTTAAACCCATGGACCAACCAAAAGTGAAAAGTGAACCGGTTCGGGAAAAATGAAACGCTTACACCACACATAATTTGCTTATGCCAAAAGGGAAATCAACAGATTCGGCCTTACATTATCTGGTTAGTATGATCGAAAGTATCTTCGAGGCCAAGGAGTTCGCTCTGTGCACCTTCTTGAACGTCGAGGGGCTTTTGACAATACTGCCTATGGCGCTATCTCAAGGGCATTGGTCCATAGAGGCTAAGGTCCTTCTACTATTGGTTGGATCGACTCTATGCTTCGTGAGCTTGAAATTAGATCATCCTTGAGCAATATTCAAGTGAAGATAAGAGCCGTGAGAGGTTGCCCGAAAGGAGGAGTCCTTCCTCCCTTGCCTTGGTCAAATATTGACTTGCCTATCCGACTTTGAATCTATACGAATGTGCTCAACTGCGGCTCTAGAGTCGCTTCTGGGATAGACTTCTCTCCATATTTTAATCCAGGAAACAGCAGAAACGAGAGAGCTGCAACTTCAGCTATCTAACGACGGTTTCTTCACAAAGAAGCATCATGCAAGTATACTTGGGTAGATACCGAGAGGTCTGCTTTGGCAGAAAGTTCCAAGTGATAATCCCCGATCGCGGAGGTTGGGCAAATGGGCTCCCTGCACTTGATCCTAGATATGTACAGGTACAGAGCAGGTACAGGTATTTTTGGACCTAACATTGAACTTGCCATTCCCATGGGCAAATGGCCGGCCCACGGTGTTTCAGGCTGAAATAGTCGACATTTTAAACTGCGCAAAATAAAGCCTTGAAAAAGGATTGAAGGGCGCATTTCTAGTTATCTTTTCAGAAAGCTAAGCAGCCGTCCGGGCTCTTTCAAACAGGACTATGAAATCCAAGCTGGTTATACACTACTTTGACACGCTACAAATTTTGGCACCCAAAGACACGATAACACTGTTCTGGGTACCAGGCCATTATTGAATCGAAGGCAATGAGGTCGCCGACGAGTTAGCACGAGAAGGATCGCTAACTGCCTTTTCAGGACCTGAAGCATTCTGTGGTCTCAGTTGGTCCTCTTAGTGAGCCATAATTTCTGACTGGTACGCAGTATGTACTTGGGAGCGCTGTGGGGCCTTAGGCAGGTCAGGCTTTTCGGTTACCCTTTCAATAGAAAAGAAACTATTTTAGAAAATAGAAATGACATCAGGCTACTTTCTGGGTACCTGACTGGTCACAATCAATTGCGATTCCACAGATTGACCACAGATTCGGAATGCTGACTCTGACTTGAAGACGACAAAGATTGAAAGATTGAAGACAAAGATTGATCTATTTTAAAGCTTCAATAGTCGAATCCTTTGTTAAGAAGAATACGCCTACCAAGGCTGCTGAAGGCATCTTGGCCACACTGGGTTAGGGACTCTCTTTAAGAGACACAAAAGATCTTTCTGGTCGCGGTGTCTCTTATTCTGTTACACCCAAGAATTAACTAACTAATCGATATATTTATCGAAATTGATATCGATCTGTTACTTGATATTGTAATTTTTATCGTTTTAGTTACCTTGGTTTGTTGCCCTCAACCATAATCATTTGGCGCTGTGCCAGTCAAGAAGAAGGTTTATCTGCAACATTACCAAAATAATTTTCGATTTATTTATCGAAGCCTGTTCTGATATCAGGTTCAATATATACATATGTAAGTCGATTAATTTATCAAATTATTTTTCGATAACTGTTCCATGTGATATCTATTTGGTGGACAGCAATTGAGAAGAAAACATTTCTTAATAGAATAGGATGTGTATATAAGCTCTCAAGGATCGGCATGGCAGGGGCACTTTGGTCTAACCCAATGGCAGCACATTACACGTTGTTTTATCTCAATAAATGCTCTAAGCTGCCGGTTAATTTAGGTTAGGTTAGAGTTGTTCCCCAGACACAAGGAACACACTTGGACAATTAGGAGAATGCCCTTTGTGATACCACGAAAAGCCGAACGGAAGCCATTAAATTAATCGGGGAGTCGGCGCGAGCCGATTACGAAATTTTGAATACGACTGATTTCGGTGCCGGATAGCTCAGGGTTAGCGCTTCAAAATGTTTCCAGCCTAGCATCACGAAGGCTGTACATTCTAAACGAAAGTGCTGACATCGTTCTTTCGACATCTGATACGAATACAATCAGTTCAGATTTCTAATCTTACCGCCTCGGGTCCACTTGAGGCTAGAAGGATAAAGCAATTGCGCACTTCGTAGTGTTAGCCCAGCGTTTGCTGAACTTACACGCGGCCCAACCGTCCAAGAGTTTACCGCAGGAAAACAGAGGCGCCCCTATTTGCTCCAGTAATCTGCTACTGAGCAGTAACCCAGAAAATAAATGGGTGAATCTCTATGTTGACAGTTAGGTTACTACTATCGCATTGCACTTTCTCATTGTGGCGGAGTGCAAGGCAGTCCTGCATTTGTTACATACTGATACAAACTTACATCTGTACGAGGAGGCCGACAGGATTGCTAAAGAAGGGGCGTTTAAACAAGAACTCGACATAAAGCTCAAGAAGTTTCTCCTATCCCTCCAGAGGGAGGACTTTGGGCTTCTGGTGGACGTTCTAACTAGACATTGTCTGCTGGCATCACACGCCTTTAAGCCAGCTCTGACCAATGACAGGATCTGTAGAAGATTCTGGCAGCCGCCACCAAGGTATGGTACAACCATCCGGCAGGAAATAAATCCCGATGTTTAACAGGCTCTGCCCAGATTTGCTTTCTTCCGTTTATCGCCCGACTAGGAAAACTATCGAGGCGCTAGGCACAAAGGTAACGCTCGTTCTAAGCCACCACTGTCCAGTGATTGTGGCCAGCTTCAGTCTAACGAACTTCCATCGTCTGCGGTATTCGCCGTCGCCAAAGCACAAAGGCCCGTAAATCTGTCGCAAGGGCCGCCTATCAGCCCTGGGCCATATGATCAGTGACTAACAAAGTATGATTTTTGTATGGTGAGAGAGGACTTTACTTCTCAACTGCCTACAAGTCGAAAAAATTAAATGAGGTGCAAAAGCGCTGACCTTTTTCTTGAAGACAGAAAATACCTTATCTTACGGATGGATTCCTGAGGAGTTCGTACTCGTCTTGAAACCTGTAAGGCGACTAACTTTCTTTAGTTCCCTATATCGGTCTCTCACTTACGTAGCTGGCATTGTGCGCGATTGGAGCGAGGCCCTCTAAGCGGCATCTCTTTTCTCTGCTGCGCTGTAACATTCCTCGTCGTAGCTGTTTTACTTTCAGCCTCGCTGGAAACCGGCTGCTGACTAATTCAGCAGAATTGTGGTTCCACTTCTCTGTCCTTTGTCATTGCAGCTCTGCGACGTTGAGCTTTCATAAAGTCATTTTAACCATTTCTTACTTTAAGACATTAAAACGCTTACGACAACATATTTAACTTCCCTGATAAGGTGTTTACATTAGGCGATTTTACAGGCAATTTTTAGTTGATAGCAACAATCGTCTGGTGTAAACGGCCTTTCAACTAATCGCTCGCAATGAAGTTGGGCGACAGACACCTTTTTATTCAACAATCGCCTCTAAAATCGGCCCATGTAAACACCGTATAATTGTTACATGACTAGTGGGGTCAAACCGTTCTGTAAACTTACTGGTTCTGTAAACTTTTTTGTTAGCTTTGACCTTAACAAACAGCTTTGAGAAGTTTTTGAAGTAAACTGGACTTACGAGAATTTTCATGTGTCTGCATCTATGCCCAAAATATGGTACTGCAGAAACCACTGCACTCAGCCCGAAGTAACAACAAGGTGAAGGTAAAAAAATGAAGAGAATTTTATAGGCGGCATACACAGTGCGTCTGACTCGCGAGTCATTTGTATTCGACTACACACAGTTGAATCATTCAGAGGCATTCCAGCAGTCATGTCGGTGTAACTAACGCATATTTATTTTCACAAACACATCCAAACCGACTCGCGAGTCAGGCGCACGGTGTATGCCGCCTATTAGTAAAAATATCATAAGTACTCATAAAGTAATCGCCGGAATTTGGTGCAAAATAAAAAAAAAATAAAAATTTCAAAAACAAAAAAAAAACCAATAAATTTGAAAAACTCTTTAAAACGGTTAGCGGCGCCCAAAGTTATTGAAATATATTTTTTTAAACTTAAGCTCCTGGTGTAATATAAAATGTCTCCCCACTAAGATAGTCTAATAAAAAAATTGCATTATAAGTATTCAAAATACCAAAAAAAAAACTCAAGCAAAAACAAATCTGAAAGACCATAACTTTAATAAAACACAAACATCTGCAACATGAGTGCCGTACAACAGGATATGTTCCTACTGGATTGTCCCACCTACGAGGACTATTTGGATACATTCATCACACGCAAAGATGTCCATTTTCTACGTAACATACGCTTCTGTCGTATGCTGGTAGAACTTGGCTATCGTTCGGCGTCTGAGATCTACACACCCGAGCAGTATGAGAAACGCAAGGCAGCCGTGCAGGAATCACTATGGCCAACAAAAAAATCAGCTATGCTATTCAGTGAAAATCTGACCTCAAACGATCCGGTTCTACTGGAGTTGGCCCGACGAGAAGAACCGAATACGCAGAAAATCATATCGGTGGGTAATTGGATGTAGTTTCTCATCTGAAAATCACATTTTTTTCGCTCTTTTTTGATTTGCAGACCATCATCTTCCTTAAACACCGCTTCAAATCTGGCTTCGAAGTTTCTGGCTATATTGATTTCGAGCATAGTCTGAGGCGGGCAAATTTAATGGCCGAAGGCTATACCGATTGGTTAGGCGTATTCCAAGAACGCATTCTACTGCGTCCCAAACCAACCGATCTTAGTTTCTACGATTGGCACAAAGGCACTGTACAATATAGTAATTCTGAAAACTATGTCGTCCTGCATGATGCTGAGAATGGTCTGATATTTATGCATCGCGGTGATCATAAAAAAATCTGCGTCGATATATCACGCGAAATGTATACGAACAATTGTACGCGCGAAATGCATTTCTCGGAAAAATATGGCCACGTAATATTTTATGATCACGAGGTACGCAAGAAGATTTAGACATATGTATGTATGTATGTATGCATGTTTGTACAAGTAATTTTTTGATTTGGTGACATGGAATTTTTTGTATCATTAATTGTACGCGTTTGTTGTTTTATTTGTACCAATAAAAATGCATAAGAAAAAGTCATACTTATATACCATGACATGATACAAAAAAGAAGGTAGTTTCAATAAACAACTTTTGAGGGATAATAAAATTTTTTGAAGTTTCATAGATTGTGAGTAATATAAACGGCCCTGCCACTTTGATAATATTAAAACAATAAATCGGAGTATTTTCTTTCCCATATTTATACCAATGTAATAACATTTCAAATCAAAAACCATTGTCAGTGCTAGGTACTTTTTTTTACTTACGTGGTTCGCACCTTTTTTTATTAAAAATATTTTAATCATAAGCTGTTAAAGGAGTCTTCATCGTAATTGTTCTTATCAGTTTGTAATAAAAACCACGCGCGCATTATTCTGTTATTTTTTTGTTTTCTTATTTTGAATGCAATCTTGCGATTTAAATATCGAATTCTAAAGAATGTTCTTCCCAAATAAAACGTTTTTATATTTCGGTTCAAATTTACTTTTAAATTTCTCATAAGTATTTGCAAAAAATAAGGCTTTGTGACTAGCGCATCATCATTAAATTTCATTTATTTTAATTTATGCAAAACACCTGAAGTCGGCTTGAACAGACCGCCCTCCGATAAACAACTAACAGATCGTCGTTTAAAGTACAAAACCGTGTATCAACAAAATGAACAACTGCGTATGTGAGGTTTGCATGAACTATTTTGTAGAGAGTTATGGTGCATTTACATGGTATGAAGCCATATGAACTGTTGATACGCTAAAATAGAGAGACTATATGTTCTAATAAGGAATTCAATGATATCGAGTGGGATGCATATAATACATTTTTCATATGAAAAATTATGGGGAGATACTGTAAACATACCGTTGTGACACTGTTAAGCATATGAAATTATAGCAAGTTGGATTTTCATACATCTTCCCATAAAAAGTTCAACAGATGCAGATCCCTTTCATTTTTTCATACAGTTTATGCTTCTTTCTGGCTTTTACAAAAATGCAGGGATACCGCACTTATTTCGGTACAATATGATCGTAATGTATTTTCAATTCGAAATCAAACAAAAACATCCCAGGAAAATGTTTGCGATTTTAGAACCATTAGTGAATATTTGCAAACTACTGCAAATAATAGAGTGCCATATCTTACAAACTTCAGAGAATTAAAGAAACAAACAAGCATTTTATGGCTTCATGTTTCCTTCAAACCGCATTGCTATTTTTTCCTTGTTCGTTTTGTTCTTATTCGCTGACATTTGTTTTCTAATTGCGTGAAATTTGGTATGTATTGTAATAAAACCGAATTATTTTACAAATAAATTATAATTTTGCATTTTTTAGGTCATTTCCTTAGTATTTTCCTGACCGACCTGTGCTGGTATTGTGATTAAGAGCTTATACACGTAAGTTACAAACACATTATTTTAACTTTATTGATGAATCATTCCATTTGCAGCATTCTCTGGTGAACTGCAGCTGCGGCCGAATTTGATTGTGTGCATCATCCTGCAGATATTTTGAAGTAAGTTGGAACCAGCTCTTTGTTATTTCCAAACCTAATGAACCATTTATTCGCAGATTTTGTGGACGATTTTGCTGTGTTGCGTTCCTGCTCCGCCTGTGTATTGCTCTGCCCGTGTTTTACAGTGTTGCATTCCTGTTGCGCCTTTGCATTAGTGTGTTGTGTTAGTGTTGTGCTTTAGCCACGTTCAAATAAGTTAAGACCAGGTTTTTGTTAGTTAAAAACCTAAAAAACCATTTATTTGCAGATTTTTTGTATGCTTCTGCTGCGCTGCGTTCCTGCTTCACCTGTATATTAGATTGCTGCGTTCCTGTTAATACACACATCGTCGTTTAAAGTACAAAACCGCGTATCGTCATTCTGCAAAACCGCGTAACTGACATTTGCTGCTAAAAATTGGATTTGCTCACACAAGCTCTTGGCTCAATCCTTATCCATTCTACCTGAAATATAACAGCCAAAACTTGCGATTGCTTTTGAAAATGATGAAATATGAGTGTTTTTACTCTCTAGAAAATAAGTTTTGCAACCCACGTATGTTTGCATTATCTTGATACGCGGTTTTGCATTTTGTTGATACACGGTTTTGTACTTTAAACGATATGTAGATGTAGTATGTACATACATATCACATACATATATTGACATAGATATATGTATATACACAATTAATGATGTGTACATAAATTTGTTGTATATTGAAACTAGATATGTATATAGTATGTTATTGTAATTGTTATTATTATTCGGTTCAACAAAGTCCCATCTCAAACGAAAATGCATTGAAAATGTGCTGAGATAGGGCGGTTTTGAATCGTCAGCGGAGATAGCGTGTTTTTGAACCGAGTTCTGAGATAGGGCATTTTTCAATCAAATTCTAAAATAGGGCGTTTTCCAGCCAAATTTTGAAATAGGGCGTTGAAAAGTTTTCTGATATATTTTATTATCTGATTTATTTTTTATATGGGTTTTGTTAGAAATTGAACTTTATACTTTATTTTTATTGGAAATTCTTAGAAATAAATTAACATGAGAGGGAAATAATATCACTTTGAAATGGGGTTTCTATTGATATGACCGATACTGTATGTATATAATAAATTTTGTACAATTAAAAATCAAAGTGGATTTCATAAAGAACACAACGTATTAATTATAAATTCTGAAATATATTGTTAATCTCAAAAATAAATAAATAAATCATTAAAAAGCTTGCTGTATGACTCGAACTTGGATGTATGTGAACTTGGGTAACGTATAATTGTTTATATGATTCCTCAAAGTATCCCTTATATAACACTGTGGAATACAAAAAAGACCTTAGTGCGAATATATCAGGTTTAATAGCTGTTGGCCATACCAATAATGCCTCATACTCAGATTTACTAGATCAATTCGTGTTCTCCGAGAAAAAAAAAATTTCACGATCCAAAAATCTGAAAAATTATTTTTCTCCAAATTTTGAACATTTATCGTTTTTGGCCTATATTTTGTGGCAAATACCATACAAAGCAAATATAGGCCAAAAAACGGAGAATTTTCAAAATTGGGAGAAAAGAATTTGGCCGCTATACTCAGATTTTTGAATCGTGAAATTTTTTTTCTCGGAGAACACGAATTGATCTAGTAAAACTGAGTATGAGGCATTATTGGTATGGTCAACAGCTATCAAACCTAATATACATATGCGCACAAGAAGCCCATTTGAAAGAGGCGGACAAAATATCACACGTAAATGAATTCCTCTATTTGGCCTGTACAATATAAGGGAAACATTTCAAATTCATAAGGGATAATTTTCTCAGTGATGCGCCTAATATAAGGAATTATATAAGCCATACTGTTATAGCTGGGTATTCATCAGCTCAAACAGTTTAAGCATATTATCCTATTCCTGTGAATAAAAACACGCCTAATTTTATTATTTTAATTATCTACAACTTTATGAGACTACCAAGCCATATATATACCTATTCAGATAATCGGAACGCTGTTGAGAAGGCATACAATTTAGTACTTTTTCAACTAAAAGGCTTTTTTTCTACCCGTTTTTCTTGTACTTCCAAAATACAATATTGACCTAAGGTAGTTCGATATCGAGCTGTCACAACGTACAACACCTTTCATTATTACATCATGCTTATATACATACATGTGTACAAGCATAAATGTCATGATTCAATAATGAAAGGTTTTTTAAGTAGCTTTTGTCTAAAATTTGACACTCCCACCCACAGGGATGGTTTTTGGAAGCAGGAAAAAAGGGGAAGAATTCAATTACACGTCCTAAAATGGTAGCTAGATTCCGCAAAAAGTTGAAGATATTAGCGCATAGCAATAGCGCATTAAATATAACCCCTGATTGTTATTAAAAATAAATATGTCTATGAATGTATGTATGTATGTTGCTTACGACAGACGGCGCATAACTCGAGAATGGGTGGTCCACTTTGAACTACTTTTTTGGTGTGTTTGTTTGCCTTGTATATTCTTTGCTGTACCATTTATGTACAATAGATGGATATGAAGAAGCTATTTGTTTGTGGAAAAATTATGGAATAGTGATTAAAAGACCCAAAATAAAAACATTTTGAACTTACGTCTCTTTCGCGGTAATGGCTCGATTGGTAAATTCGAATTCTTTGATGTTGCACTGGGGAGATTATGCCGCCGTCAGAATATTAAACATTTGCTTACACAGTCGCGATTGGCGCTTCGTGCCGGACGACGGACGGTTCCATATTGCGTACTTTTAGACCCCACGGCTTTTAATTTAGAGAATTTTAGCGTAGCCATTGTCAGAATTCCACTGCAGGATTGTGTTGTGTAGGTAAATACCTAAATATCTTCGTTGACTCATGTACCAGAAACATTGCGCGCTTTACTTTACAGCGACTTGGCAGAATCACGAATGTCTCCACGAATGTCGACAAACACAAGTATGCGACATTTAAGGGAATTTCGTCTCTTTATCCTACATTGAATTTCTGTAGGCCAACTATTCTCACCCATTTTGTCTTGTTGTCGCCAGCGAATGCCGAACAATCATTTTTTCAAATTTAAAAGGTAAAAATTTCGCTAATAAAAATTTAAAAATGTTCCTAAAACTTCCAAAGAAATTTGGAAAAGAAAGATCACTGTTTTTGGTTTTAGGAGTAGGGTGGGAGTGTCATTGATAAAATTAGAGTGAGAGAAAGTTTTTCTTACAAAACCTTTCATTATTGAATCATGCATAAATGTATCATCCAAAATGCAACTAAAAGGGCGCTCTTCATAGATGTTGATAAACAAAATTAGAATTTTTTGTTTTGTCAACTCCCTTTCTTATCTAATTTTCAACGCTTTATTAATTTGTTTCACTAAGTCTTACTTTTTTTCTACACTGTATTGCCATGTCGCGGCGGCCGCTGTGGTGTAGTGGTAAGCAGTGTTGCCGTTGTGCGACTAAAGGGGCAATTTGACCCTTTTTAAATGCCAGTATCCTTGGACCTGATTTTGAAAATTCTGGCTTTTTAACCCTTTCCCAAAATTATGTGCGACTTTTGTCCCTTTTCAAAGATTTTTATAGGAAATTTTAACAGGATCATGCCATTAAAAAATGTTACCTCCTGCAAGTACGAAAAAATCGATCACTTAAAACTTTTAAAGGAAATGCTACTCTTCTCCTTGCAGCAACTCGTTTTCTGTGTTTTGTTCAAAGCTTGTCACACTACTTTCTTTTTAAATTCAATAGCGGAACGTTCTAGCAGAGAAAAGACTTTACATGTAAGTTTTATTTTGACCTTGGATCTCAGATTTATTCTTTTACTAGTAAAGAAAAGAAAAAATAATATGGTGACCCTTTCATTCGTCAATTACCTATTTTTGCGGCTTTCTGAAAATTCTCAACGGCAACACTGGTGATAAGCAGTTCGCGCTTACACTCCTCAGGTCCTGCAACATCAAAAAACAAATGGAGAAAAAGGTTTTTGTCTTAACAGCGGCCGCCCTCAGCAGGCAATGGCAAACCTCCGAAAAAATGTATGCCATGAAAAACAGCTTCTCATAAAAATACAATCGCCGTTCGGAGTCGGCGTAAAACTGTAGGTCCCTCCCCTTTCGTGACAACATCAAGGAAGAAAAGCTGGGCCAAATACTAACGTACATATGTATGTGTAGCGGCCATTCTATTATTATTATATTATTGCCGTGTCGGTGTCGGTAGCATTTTCGATAAATAGATCGATTTATTTTTGACATATGTACATATGTAGTTATTGATATTTTTATAAAAACCCTTCCCGATACATTTACCGAAATCGTTAATGTTAGATACCAAAGCATATATCGATAATGTTATGACTATATTTATATCAATGAATATCGTCATGGTTATCGATAAATCTAGATCATATCGCACTGGCTATCGTGAGCATTTTCGTTTAATTCATTGACAAATTATTTTTTTCTTACGGCTATTTTTATTAAATCCATGTCCGATATATGTATTTTTCGAAATCGGTTATGTTATCGAAGCATTTGTCGTTAACATGATCATTAAAAAGATATGGTATGTTCCCAGTAACTTCTTTGCTTTCCATTTGTTTGGTTTCAGTGCCATTTCCTTTTTTCTCTCACAAACCAATCCCTCATAATATCAGGTCCTGTTGTAAGAAGCGTTGAGACCTTCATAGTTTTATTGCAGGGGACTTCCTAGAAGGCTTCTCTGTTTTCGCATTTCTTTCTAGACCTTTGTGATTCGGAGCCCATATATAACATTTTGTCTGCTAAGAATGAATGATGACTTTATTCCATTCGAAAATCATGCCTGGACAACTAAAGTGTGCAGGAAATCATTGACGAAACCGTTAGAAAATAAACGAATATTTTACACAATGAAAACTGGGAGCCATCAATGGTAATCAATCTCGGAAGATTCATTAAAAATCTCTTGTGGCAACCTCGCAAAATATAGTTCATAAATAAACATTTCTCTAACCCCCTTAGATGGACACCCATATTTTAATAATTCATTTAACTTAATAAATAATTGCATTTAACTTTTTAAACAGGTGGCAACCCTCTTCCAACACCTTAAAAATATTATTAGTGTTCAAAGTAAAGATTTCTTAACAGTCTTTCGTTTGACATCCATATTTTGGTATTACAGATAACTTTTGTTTATGTATGTTAACTAAATTCCGTATTTCAAGCAGGTGGCAACCCCCTTCAAAATATTTGCAAACAACTACTTTCTGAAATCCCTTTCGTTTGGCGCCCATATGGCGATACATATTTATCATATTAAATTCCCTTAATTCAAATTGAATTAGATTTTCTAAACAGGTGGCAACCCTCCTATAGTTAAATTAAGAAACAAAGCCTTTCAAAACCATTTCGATTGATACCCATCTTGTGATAATTGATTTTTTTTTATAATTTGAATATAATTTTTTAAAAGGTGGCAACTCTCTTTTAAAAAATTTAAACCTTATTGCACACCTGCAGTCCAAGGCTTTTAATTTGATACCTAATTTCGGAAAATCGAACGGTACGGATATGATTATTATTAAATAATTTGAATTTAATTGTTAAACAGGTGGCAACTCTTTTCGAAACACTAAAACCAGTTTGCACATCTACAGGTCAAGCGCTTTAATTTGGCACCCCTTTTTGGAGCGATCCGTGCAGATACTATGTCCTGGACAAATATCCCTACATACATATATAGATATAGATTCCGCCCACTCTGCGTGGGTGGGTAACTCTAGTAAAAGTTGTAGTTTTTTCTAAGTAAGTAATAAATGGCATTATCTTATGATTTTCGATGAAAGCTACGTGATTTCCCCTCCCAAAAGAAAGTTCTGGATTTGCCCCGGATAGAGAAGTGCATGCATACATACGGTGACCATTCGCACCAATTTTGGCAGCATAGTACCGATTTTGAGAAAGTTGTCCCGCTGAATATTTTTTTTTAAGTCGGGGCGCATAAGTTTCCCGATTTTTCATATCTGTGTCGCTTAAATCTCGGTTTTGAGTGTTTTCTTTATTAGCTTAATAGAAGTCTACATGCAACTTTTTAAAAAGCCCTACCTGTTTTTGATTCTCTTTTTATATCTACTGTTTTTTTTTGCTTCCCCTGTAAAAAAAAAAATTTTGGTTAGGGCCTTTGTGAATTAAGGTAACAATATATTGTAAGTGTAAATTTTCGTGTTAATTTTTAACCGACTTCAAAAAATGAGGAGGTTATCAATTCGTCGGAATATATTTTTTTATGCATTTACCGCATAAGTTTGGACTACATTAAACCGATTTTTATAATTATTTTTGAAAGGATCATGAAGAAATAAACGATAATCTTTAATTTGTATATGAGAATTGAAGTCGGTTTTATGTTTTGCTTAAAAATTACTTATTTAAGGTCTTTTCTCTTTGTTTTGTTTTAAACTATATTAAACGATACTATGTCTTTTTATTCTAAAAACATAATTGTATGCTTTGATTCGATGCTTTAGAAATGTCCCGATTTTTGCCCACAGAAATCTGGTCACCGTATGCATACACCACATCAATGCTAAACTTTAGAGAAAAGTCTAGCGAGCGCTTGATTTTTGGCCGCTTGCCAAATTTTGAATTTTGATTTTTTTAATTACACATCCGTATACAAACTAATTTGTATGTAAATTTCTGTATTTATTGTATAAGGATATATCTGCATACATACCCTTGTGGCCAGCTGATTAAGTCCAGTGATATTTTAACTAGTTTTGCTTATTTTTCTTTTGCTTATTTAATGTTTATATTTTTTTTTATTAAAGTGTAGCTTTACCTAACCAGCGCCACATAAATTCACATTTCAAAATTCATACAAAAATTATGAAAATTCAACAAACTTTAAAATTTGCACCAAACAATTTTAAACTTTTTATTTAGAATTTTTGGAAAAAGTGTTAGTAAAAAAAATTATTTGTTTTGTTTTTATTTTATGGCCTTATAACAATTATATTCAACAATTTTTATTGAGCTTGAGGCCGTTTTTTAATGAAAACTTATTGTGGAAAAGCAACAATAATTTGAAAAAAATGGTAGAAGTGATAGCTATTTCGGCATTTCTGATAAGGAAATGTGGTGATTTCCGAAATAGCTATCACTTCTACCATTTTTTCGAATTATTGTTGCTTTTCCACAAAATAGTTTTCAATGAAAAACGGCCGCGATCTCAATAAAAATTGTTGAGTAAAAAAAATTATTAAAAATCAACGCGATTTTCTAGCGTCTTGAAATTTGCACTTTAACCTTTTTAAAATTTAATGAGCTACAAAACTGCAATAAAAAGTTTAAAATTTTTGGGTGCAAATGTTAAAGTTTGTTGAATTTGCATAATTTTTTTGCGAAGTTTGAAATGTGGATTTACATATGTGACGCTGGCTAGGTTAAAGTGTCCAACTTTTATTTAAAAAAATATAAACATTCAATAAACAAATGAAAAATAGCCAAAACTTGTCCAAATGTCTATTGACTTAATCAGCTGACCACAAGTGTACATATGTACCGCTTAACGCACATTTTACGACTTGTTTAGAATGCATAGAGCAAAACAGAAGAAACATTTCTAAGGGTATTTACATATGTGTTGATCTTGTACCTATGTTTTGGCATTATAGTCAAATTAAATGTTAAATAAATAAAGGCAAATGAAATGAGTGAATAAAACATAAAAACGCAAAGCAATCTGTGCTAATCTCTGAGCGAATTGGGGACAACGGCGCTCCTTCTTCACAACTATGCCTTTGTCGCCTTTTGCATATTTGTAGGTATGTATCTATGTATAAAATTTTGCATTAGCAGTGCCTTTCAATTGCAGTCGATTTGTCTTAATGTCAAATATCTGAATTTAATTTTAGCATTAATGGGCGAAAAAACTTAGCTAAATACTGCCTGCTGCCTGCATTTCGATTTGAATCTTTTAATGCAACGGTTGGTAAAAATTTTCTAGAGCGCGCGTGATTCGTATAAATATTTAGTAGTTGACAAAAATTAAGTGCATTTTTTTTTGGTTTCTGCTTGAAAAAAAATCTAGTTCCAGATTTTAGTGCTACGTATGAAATGTGTTAAATTTAAAAATTTCCAATTTTACTACAATGAAACCATTATTAGTGCATTTAATATGCGCGCTGCTCTACGCCTACGCGCAAGCGGCCGACCGTCCACAATTTAATGTTGGTAAGTAGATAAACAAAGTGAAAGCTAATTAAATTTTGAACACTTGGCTCGCTAGTAACCTTGACCTTTCACTTTACAAATCAGGCATAATTTTCGCTAGCGAAAATGATGAAACCGAAATCGCCTTTCGTACTGCCATCGAACGCGCCAATGTATTTGAGCGCAGCTTTGAGCTGGTGCCCATTGTCGAGTATGCTGATACGGATGATAGTTTTATTGTGGAGAAAACAGGTCAGTTAAACATATTTCACTCAATATTTATAAATAATATTTATTTTGTTTGTAAAATGCGTAAAATTTTCACTTTTCTTCATTTCATGGCAAACAGTCTGCAAATTGATTGCGCAAGGCGTTATTGCTATTTTCGGGCCAAACACAGCAGGAGGCACAGGTATGTATGTATATACATACATATGTAAATATATATATGAAGGAAGAGAAAGAACACAATCAACATGCGCATAAATGCATATATGTAAATACAATAAAAACAACAACAACATGCATACACTCTCGCACATATTTACCTGTACTTGAACAAGTTCGCTTCTCTGTTTTTGCCATTGATTGTTTGTAAATAAACGTCTCAGCGTAAGTAACCATGTACATATATGTATTTACATATATCCCCCCTTGAAATTTGTTAACCTACTTACCTACAATATACCGGCATCCTCAGCACGTGCTGCACAGTGGTGGCGAACATAATAGGCTGGTGTATAAAATACAAGCGAAATTTTTGTTGTTCAATTTTTTTTTACGCTCGGTGACTGTAATTCCAAGCTCAAAAAAAAAAACGAAATGCAACAGAAGAAGGGCGGGTACGTCGGGGGGTGGTTGAGCATGATTAAGATCAAGATTAAGGTTAAGACTAAGGGCCGGTTGTTCAATGTCTGATTAGCACAAATCGGAGGTAGAAGCTCCGGTTAAGCACAACTACTGCTTTATCGATCACATGTTACATGCATGATGTCGAAATCGTCGATAGTGTAGTGGTAGTGATAACCAGACATTGAACAACCGGCCCTAATATTGCCTATGATTAAGATTATGATTATGATTAAGAGTAGAATTAAAATTCAAATATACATTTAGATTAAGATTGAGACTGAGACTGAGATTAAGATACGGACTAAAACTAAGGTTAGGTTTAAGATTAAGGTTAAGATTGGGACTGAGAATGAGAATGAGATTAAGTTTAAGATTATTAAGATAAAGGTTAAGACTGAGATTAAAATTAGGATTATGAGACGACTAAGAATGAGATTAAGATTATGGTTAAGATTACCATCAAGAATATGGTTATGATTTTGATTAAGAGTAGGATTAAAATTCAAATATATATTCGGATTAAGATTGGGATTAAGATTGAGATCCATATTAACAATACGACTAAGATTAAAATTAAGATTATGACTAATTAAGATTAAGACTAAAGTTAGAATAAGATTAAGATTAAGATTGAGCTTCAGATTGAAATTCAGGTTAAGATTAAGGTAGAGAATGGGATTATAATTATGAATCTACAGTGACACAAACAAATGACCACGTATTGATTTTCTTTAATTGTTCGTAATGTTGAAATTTTGATCAAAATTTGTTGAATTTTCCTAAATTTTATATAATGTTACACGGGTTGGGTTAAAGCTTAGACGATAGTTTTATATAAAAGTAACAAAAAATAAATTAGCTGGAAAAATATTACGAGTATTAAAAAAAAAACAATGGTCATTTGTTTGAGTCACTGTATGTACTTATTTCTAAAGGGTGTTTTTCTGTTACCAAACGATATCTCCTTTAATATTTTATCAAATTTAATGAATATCTCATTTTCAAGGGGAGTCACGATGTTCAAATTTTTTTGTTTAATAAAAAAGGGGGTTTGAAAAGCTGTAAGCACTGTATCCGGTCAATTAAGCGCCATAATACTTCATCAAGTTGAATGATTGAAACACCATTTTGAAGGAAAGCTTCACTTCTTGAGTTAACTTTTGATAGGATTGCCACCCGCTTAAAATTTTCGGGACTTAAATACATATATACCGACTAAAATATTACAACGCCTTGAGGGAATGAAAGGCATTTAAATGCACTCTTAGCCAGAAGTAATAATTTTGAAGAGGGTTGCCAACTATTTAAAAATGTATATATGTATCTCTATATATGGGTCAATCCATACAATATTTACACCTCAACACTTCTTTGGGGTGAAATATATATTTTTTTATATTCTCTAACGAAAAAAAGAAGACACCAATTTTTTTTTTTTCGTCATGATATTCGAAAATCTCGAAAGAAAAACTCCCGAAATTTTGAACTTACGGAGAAGTATCGTTTTTCAATTGTTTGCAGTTAATAATCTATTTGTCGGGAAAAATCAGTTAAGGTATCAAAATGTGCGTAATTACCGCAGCTTTCCAAGAGAGTGTGAGATAGATTAAAGTAAAAAATAAAAATTTGCTGTAAAAAATTGCATTTTTCTTCATCTTAGCTACCCGCTGTAATTGCAACTTTTCGACGCACTTTTTACCGCAGGTCCTTTATGTCTATTTAAATGTTGACTACGGCTGTGATGCGAACTCATATTGGCACCTCGAATGTAAACTTGTAGCAGATCGACACCTTGCCTATAAAAGGTCTGTCCGTTCTGTTAAGACTCAACTCCGTAAACCGTGGTCCTTGTTTCGTTTTTTGGAGTCATTAATAAGTTAATATCCGAGGTTCTTTAGGTCTTACCATTAGATTGAATTCTCACTACGGGTTCCAATCCTAGTATTATCCCTTCCTTTCCTAATCAAGGACAAAAGAGCTACAGTAGTGTTTAAATGAATTGAGAAACTCAACTCCGTATTTAGCATTCAACGGGATTTAGAGTGAGTCTGGAATGCTTTCAAACTTTCACAACTGCGAAAACTTTTTCATATGATTTAAGTATATTTTGGAATTTTTCATACTAATTTCTATATCATTTGATTTTTCTAAACTGGATGCAAGTAAGACCTCAAACTTCGAAAGCACATATTTAATTTGTATCCCCAACATTTCCAGACATAGTCACCTCCATCTGCAATTCGCTGGATATACCACACATTGTTTTCGATTGGACTTCCAGTGAATCGCTTGCCGAACGTCAGCACACATCCATGACACTGAACGTGCATCCAAATAACGTTCTACTGTCACGCGGCATGGCTGAGATATTACAAAGTTTCAACTGGCGTAGCTACACCATTGTCTACGAAACCGAAAAGGGTAAGCGAAGTGAATGACTTAAGTATTGCAAAAAACCGAGAGGGTGTTCTCTTAACTAACACGCAGAGCTACAACAACTACAAGATGTGCTGCAAGTCGGTGAACCCAATAAAAATCCAACAACAGTACGTCAACTAGATGAAGGACCCGATTTTCGTCCATTTCTGAAGAATATCAAACTATCCACCGATAACTGTATTGTACTACACTGTTCCACCGCGAATATTTTGACTATTTTGCGGCAAGCGAATGAGCTGAAAATGTTGGGTGAATATCAGGTGAGTTTGCTACCCGTAAACGAATTTTGAAAGTTTGTGGTTTTACTGATTTTACTGGGTTTTTTTTTCTTGAAATTTCGTAGAGTGTATTTATCTCGGCACTCGATACACACACGCTAGACTTTCAAGAGCTACTCTCGGTTTCAGCCAATATAACCACTATACGTTTAACGGATCCCACAGATTATCAAGTGAAGAATGTGGCGCATGATTGGGAAGAACGAGAGAAGCGAGAGGGACGTTACTATCGTGTTGATCCGTCGCAAGTGAAGGTGAAAATGGTTTTTTTTAACCGTGTTTTTTTTCAAAGTTTTTTTTTTATTTCTACTGTCTATTTTGTATAGACAAACATGATTTTGGCTAATGACGCTGTCTTCATGTTTACAAAAGGTCTTGCTGAGCTTGGCATTGCCGAGGAGCTTAATCCTCCGAAAGTGGAGTGTCGTAAAAATCGCGCTTGGCCGCAGGGTAGACGCATCATTGAATTCTTGAAAGCGGTAAATACTTATACATACATATTTATCTTTTAAGCCCTTCAGGACCATAAGCCAATAAGTTCCTAAAAACTTTCATTAATTTCAACCAAGAACAAATTTTTGTCAAATTTTTTCTTTAACATGTTTGAATAAATAAAGTCATCTAAAAAAATTTCATCTAAACTGATTATTCCTAAAAAATACTTTTTCCCGTAACATTGTTTTCCTAAACATTATTTTTTTGTTCTCAAAAATAATTTTTCTAAAACATTTTTAATAAAACTCATCATTTGTTACAAAAAGATAGAAAGAATGTTAGTTCCTAGAAAATAATTTTTTCCAAACAATATCTTCTCATTTTTCCAAATTTTTTTTTAAATGATAACTTTTTCCTGAAAATTATCTTCAAGAAAAATATACCTTCTAATGTATGCACGTTCATTTTTTTATAATTTTGGTGCATAGATAGTATTTTCCAAAACCGGTAAAACCTTTCATTAATTTCAACTAACAAATTTTTGCCAAAGTTTTTTATTTTTTTCTAAAAACAAAATTTATCAAAAATAATTTTTCCTTAAAAATACCTTTTCCCCTCATCTTTTTCCCCAAACATTAATTTTTTGTTCTCAAAAATAATTTTTCTAAATCATTTTTAATTAAACCCATTATTTTTTCCAAAACGAAAAAGAAATAAATGAGGTTAGTTCTCTGAAATTAATATATAATAATAATAGAAATATTTTCTGATTTTTTCCGAAAAGTAAATTTTCCAAATTTGTGGGACAAAAATATTTTTTTTCCAAAAACTGTCTTCAAAAAAATATTCATTTTGATGTATGTATGTCAGTTAAATTTTTTATAACTTGGTTAGATAGTATTTTCCAATAGAGTTCTTATCCCGAAAATTTTTTTTCATAAAAAATAAAAAAAATACTTTTCCCTAAAACTTCCGATAATTTAAAGTAAAATCATATTTTTGGTAAAATTTTTCTTAAACCGTTTTCATTACTCATTTTTTTTTTTCTTAACAAAAAAAAACTTTTTTTCCATAACAATTTTTTCCAATTTTTTTTCCAATTTTTTTTTCTTAAAAAATTATTTTTCCCCTGATATTGTTACCCTAAACATTAGTTTGTGTTCCAAAAAAATTTTTTTTCTCGATAGAAACAATTTTAACAGCAAAATTTTTTTGTTTTCTGAAAAAATCTTTGTTTCTGTTTGGTAATTTTTTCTAACTTAGGTAAACATATTTTCCCACTTTTTCCTAAATTATGTTGTTCATCAACATTATATTATGTATATATATATATATACTATTTTCCCTATTATTTCCTAAATTATTTGTCCATGAATATAATTTTTTAATAATTTTTTTCTGAAAATACTTTTTGTTAAAGAATTGTTATTTTTTCCTGAAAAATAATATTTTCCAATACATATTTTTTCCAAAATATTTCACACAACATAATTTTTTTTACTCAAAAATTACTTTTTCATAGTATAATAGCATTTTTTCTAATTTTTGTTCTCAAAAATAGTTTTCTCCATAGAAACAATTTTTAACACCAACTTTTTTTTTTCTCAAAAAACCTTTGTTTCTGTTTGGAATTGTTTCTTAAATTTGAGTAAACATATTTTTGCCTAAATTACGCTGTTCGTACAAATTTTGCTTTTTATAAGAAAACTTCTCAAAGAATTTTTTGTGTAGACCCATATCAAAAGAAAAAAAAATGCGTCTAATTAAGAGATTTCCCGAAATTATGTGCCTAATCCGCAATGTGCATTTTTTCATAGCGCTCTATGGAAGGCGCCACCGGCCGCATCGATTTCAACGAGCATGGCGAACGTAATTTCTTCACCTTACGATTTATGGAATTCACACCGGGCGGCTTTCTGGACTTGGCCACTTGGGATCCGGTAAATGGCGTAGATTCACTGGAAAAAGAAGATGCTAGCGAAAAACGCGTCGGTGAAAAGCTGTCGAATAAAACTTTTATAATCACATCACGTATTGGTGCGCCCTTCTTGTTGAATAGGTGAGTGTGAATTATGTTTACAGATTTTTTTTTTACAGTTATGGATATGCTCGTCACTTTACACCTCCTCGCATTTCAGAGAGCCCAAAGACGGTGAAATTCTTCAAGGGAACGCACGTTATGAGGGCTACTCAATGGATCTGATCGATGCCATAGCCAGATTATTAAATTTCAAATATGAATTTGTATTAGCGCCAGATGGAAAATATGGTAGTTTTAATAAGAAGACACAATCATGGGATGGATTGGTGAAGCAACTTTTGGAGGGTGTGAGTATTTCATGCTACTAAATGTTATGTACATTAGTCATGGGCAGAGAGAGAACAACTGTGTACTGTGCACCTCTATATCAGTGATTGCTAGCGAGAGGTCTCTTCCTGTACGCGTCAGTATAAAATGTTTACAAAACTCATTATAAAACATACAGAAAGCCCTGCTTCTTCCTACGTTTTAGGCGTAACTCGTCTATGCAGCTGTAAAATGTATGTACGATAAAGCCTAAAAAAGCTCTGCACTAATGCATCGTTTTGGTCATCACTGCAAACACTGAAAGCCCACAGCGTCGCCTATAACTTCCTAAAAAATTTTAAATCGTTTTGTGTCTCTCTTTCAGAATGCCGACCTGGGTATTTGCGATTTGACGATGACCTCCTCACGACGTCAAGCTGTCGACTTCACCCCACCTTTCATGACACTGGGCATTAGTATACTGTATGCCAAGCCTGAGCAGCCGCCACCGGATCTTTTCTCTTTCCTTTCGCCATTTTCTTTGGATGTCTGGGTGTATATGGCCACCGCATATTTGGGTGTATCGCTATTGATTTTCATGCTTTCACGCATGGCACCAGCAGACTGGGAGAATCCGCATCCCTGTAAGGAGCCAGAAGAGGTGGAGAATCCTTGGTGCATGTCGAATACGACTTGGTTGGCGGTTGGCTCTATTATGGGGCAGGGGTGTGATATATTGCCGAAGTAAGTAAAAGTTTTAGGAGCTTCATATGAGCTTTACTTAACTGTTGACGCCAATTGTTAACATCCGCAGGGCTGCTTCGACGAGACTTGTAACCAGCATGTGGTGGTTCTTCGCCTTGATGATGTTGAACTCTTATACCGCTAATTTGGCTGCTTTTTTAACAATGTCCAGAGTAATGTTTTCTTTTACATAACGATATTTTGCAATCAACATTCAAATTTATTTTAATTATGTTTGTAGATGGAAAGCTCGATTGGAAGCGCTGAAGATTTGGCTGCGCAAAGCAAAATTAAGTATGGCGCTTTACTGGGCGGCAGCACAATGGGCTTTTTTCGGGTGAGCGCATATAGAGTTTTGTATGACGATCTTGAGGGCTTTCACTTTTAATATGAGCTTTCACTTTTAAACATAGCTTTATTTTTTTTACATACACATATCGTTCGTGCGCATAGCTTTTAGTTGCGAGCCTCAGAGATTTTACTTTTAACTAAAGCTTTCACTTATAGTTAGTAACTTCCAAAAACATGTCAATGTTTGTTTTTAATTTATTTATTTTTTTTCATATGTAAACACATACGTACACATTAGGTTTTTGTTTATTTCTTATTTTCATGTTGGCGCATAGCTTTGAAAAGCGCGGTTTAAAACTTTCACATTTAACTAGGGCTTTTTTTTAACTAGAGCTTTAAATATATATATATATTTTTTTTCATGTGGAAGAATAGCTGTGAATGGCGAGTTTGTGAGCCTTCACGTTCAACCAGAGCTTTCATTTTTAATTTGAGCTTGCGCGCACTTTATTTATTCATCTTTTATTCTTCGGGTGAACGCATAGCTTTGAATAAAAATCTTTACAGCTTTCGCATGCAACTAGAGCTTTCCCTTTTGATTGAAGCTTTCACAAACATATTTTGTCAAGTTAATGAATAGCGTTATTATATAGAGCTTTCACATTCAACTAGAACTTTCACTTTTTAATAAAGCTTTCACACACACTCTGTATTCACTTTCGCTTTATTTTTCAAACAGGATTCTAATTTCACCACCTACCAACGCATGTGGACCGCCATGGAAACAGCGCGCCCTTCGGTATTCACCAAGAATAATGACGAAGGCGTGGAGCGTGTGCTCAAGGGCAAGGGACTCTATGCATTTCTTATGGAATCCACAACGCTAGAGTATATTATCGAACGAAATTGTGATCTGATGCAAGTGGGTGGATGGTTGGATTATAAAACCTATGGCGTGGCAATGCCTTTTAGTGAGTTTGGCCGTTAAATGATTGTGGGTTTGAAGAATTCAAATTTGTCCTAATTGCTTTGTACACAGACTCGCCTTACCGTAAGCAGATCAGCGGCGCTGTATTGAAGCTGGGTGAATCCGGTACGCTCTCCGAATTGAAGCGCAAATGGTGGAAGGAGATGCATGGCGGTGGATCGTGTTCGCAAGCAGAGAGTAGTAGTGGTGACACGCCCGAATTGGATTTGGAAAATGTGGGTGGTGTGTTTCTTGTGCTAGGCATCGGTCTGCTCACTGCTATTCTAATTGGTGTGTGTGAGTTTTTGTGGAATATAAAAGCGGTGGCAATTGAGGAAAAGGTATGTTTGCTTTTTATAAAAAAAAAAGCTACTTTTAATGAGGGTAGGTATTCTATCAAAAAAATACGAAAACATTGGAACTTTTAAAGCTTTTAAACTTATTGTTTTCTCAACCTTTATATTCTTCTTTCAAAGATCTCCCTCTCGGAAGCTTTCAAAAATGAATCTTTATTCGCTCTACGCTTCTGGGTACAAACTAAACCAGTACACACCTCTTCGACCAGCAGTGGCAGTTCGTCGTCCTCCTCCTCCTCTTCTTCCACCTCAAAATCATCTAAATCCACCAAATCGTCCTCATCTTCGTCCACCTCATCGAAACGCTCGAAACGCTCGTCGAAATCGTATGCACGCTCCCTTTCACACAGCACGAAAAGCATCACCAATGGCACACATGATCCGGAAAAGAAAGAATTATCTGTGCATGATAAGCTACGTAAGATTAGTTCCATGTTTTCATTAAAATCAGCACGTTCCGAACCTTCAGTGAACAATGTACACTTGGAAGCCCTAGCAGCACCAAAAAATAATAACCCACATCAACACCTCAACAACCATAATCACAATCATCAACCAGCGATTCGCAAGAGCACACAAATGGTGCGTGAAGTAGCACAGCAGACCACACCACTCTCAGATGAGCACACGGATGAGGAAGAGGAGGAGCGTCAGCAGCTGCAGCAGCAGCAGCAGGAAGCGGAAGAACAGCCCACAGCACCTCAACCGCATCAGCATCAACACCATCATCATCACCATCACAGGCATCACAACCATCAGCATCATAACCACCATCAGCGTCAGGATGTCGACCAGGCGCATCAACAATCTGATTTGCCGCTGATCGAACGCGCGCAAAATGGTAAGGTGTCACGTAATGGAGAAGCTGGCTTTGGAAGTGCAGAAGTTTGATGTGTAAAAGATCATAAATGACAATTTTTGGAGAACATGAAGCAGATGTTGTTATACCTAGCGGAATTTTTTTTTAGTAATAATTTCAACATTTATCTACCTCTCCGTTTTCATGCCACCCAACATAACTGTACTGAATTGTTAATTCTGTTGATCCTTTCAGAGTAATATTTTGTCTTATTAGAAAGTACCTCATATATGTATCAAAACATTTTACAAAATAAGTATTTTTATCAAAATTACAAAAATGTTTTTTAAACAAAATTTTTGAATATTGGAATTTTCAGAAAAATAGTTTACAAGAAAAACATGTTTTTCGAAAAAATCATAATTTAGGACAAAATATGTCAGCAGGTTTTATGCAAAAAAATGTTGAGAAAAAAATTTGTTTGTTACATTAAAAATAAAGATTTTTTAGAGAAGACATTATTTCTGCTGAAAAAAGTTATTTTTGGGAACTAAAATTACAAAAAATCTAGAATAAAAAATTTTAGGGGATCAAATTATTTCTTTAGAGTAAAATTATTTTTGGGAATCAAAATATAAAAAAAGCAATATATAGGATAAAAATTTTAAAGGGAAAATTATATTTTCAGGAAAAAATAATGGCGTCTTCGTTTCTACAAAAAAATTTGCTTTCTCATTGCCCTCTTCTTAAGATTTTTAAGATTGTTTAAAAAAATAAAAATTTTGAAAAGAGAATTTTTTTTAATAAAAAGGCTAATATCAGAAAGAAGTTCTGCGCAAAAATACTTCCGGCCCCCTTTTCCGGCAACACAGAAAGGAGAATTCTACATAGTAAGGGTTATAATCCCTAAGCGCGGCCGAAGGCCGCCTACTCAGAAAGAAGTTAGTTTTCATGTATGCACTATTTCGGTTTTTGTCATATGCATTACTTCGGTTTTGAGTCGAAACTGTG